AGTCTACATTAGAATTCTGTAACTTGTATGTATTCAGCATTCCACACACACTGAGTCCTCCACCGGGTGCAGATCTTCCTTATGCACTGTAACGAGCTCATGAGACTTACTGTCAAAATGCTAAAGATGCTTTGAAAGACTGCATTCCAATGTCAAACCTTGCCTAATGAAGGTAATTTTGTGTGGCCCACTCTCCATAATAACAAGGTCACTCAGTCCTTAGGGCACGGTGCTTACACTGGCCTTGTGATCAGCCCGCTCCCCTCAATGATTTAAGACATGTGAGGCTGCAGAGAGCCAACAGAAGAGGTGCATTTGGATCTTCTGATCAAGGCTGTCAGAATCAGTTTCGATAACTGAAGTTTCACCTGCTTACCATTGGAAAAACAGCAACCTGGAGCCACATAGCTATCATCTTTTACGTACAAGAAGCTCCATCTAACTGCTCCTGTAATGCTTGTCAGACAGATTTTTAAAAAGGCACACTGAACATTCACACTTTACCTCACTTACACTCTTTTCCCATTAAATTGCTAATACGGTCTTCCTACATTGTGCTACATCCTCTGTCAAATCTAATGTTATATTGGTCAATAGGCTAATTCATCTATTGAGCCGAGAATTGAAAGTACAATGAGCATTTCCTGTACAGTATTAGAAGGAATGTGGAAAAATATTCCAGGCACTACTGACATTGTATTTAGCCACTATTAACATTAACAGCTCCTCACAGGCACGCGTGGTCTATCACAGGTTCATCCTTGAATTTCATCCAAAAGAATAGCGTTTCAAATGCTTTCTAATAATAAATGTGCTAATTAAAGCAAGTTGTGCATGTTTTGAGCTCTTCTGTGAGACACGCTCTGATGGGAAACAGTGCAGCGGTGGGTGCTTTGAACCCTGTCAGTAATGACAGGAGACAAATGAAGGAGAAAGATGAGAGGGATTGAGGAAATAGCAAAGGGATAATGTGCTCTCCCACAACATGCAGGCATTCTTTGTTCTTATTTGAGCTAATCTTAGGTTTAACAGTCAGAGCCTGTGTGAGAAAAACATCTATTTTCCACGTGTGTCTGAGCTTGAATGTGTAAACGCTGCGCAAGATCTATCAAAAAGAATATTGATTCAATTGATTATCAGCCCCCTTGCTATAGAGCACATGACTCGAAGAGCTAAGCTGAGGAAACATCCCTGAGGTCATAATACTGTGAGCTATCATTCCAAAATATTACTTCTACAGATTACACTCAAACCCAAATCCCAGAGGAATTTACCATCACTTTTAAAGGCTTTCCAAAAGGTGTAGCACTTTAGCAATGGTGTAGAAATGCATTTTTTATTAGCTTTTTTCTAGATAGGAAATAAAAACCTAATATAATTTAATTATACTGCATAAGTTCAAGCTTTGTGTCGTTTAAAGGAGCAGTTTCTCTTCAGAAATTAGCAACAACATGCATTTCCACATATACCGCATACTTCAAGTGTAGAATGACAGTATGCCTTACAAAAACCTCAAGCCTACAGAGGGATTTATTCACGCGAGTAATTATCCAAAGCGCCTTAGCTAATACACTGGGATGGACACTGACCTCAGAACAGGAAACCAATGCAAAAAAAAGAGTACAAACAATTCAGAGAAACCCGCAAAGGTAGAAGTTCCATACTTAGAAATGATTCTGTCCAGATGAGCAATTCTATTGCTGTACGATCCAGGACTGTTTTGGCAGATTTTTTTTTGTGAGGACACTGAGAGCAGCTGCAATATAACAGAAGTTGAAAATTGAAACAAACTACTAAGCTTCTATACCAAAAACAAGCTGAGAGAAAGAATCATTCAGGCACAATGTGTGCTACCTCTGCGGGTCATGCAGATGATCGATCAAACTCAAAACGAGGGCTTGTGTGTGTACACGAGGCTTACATGTGTGTTTTCTTGTGCATTGGTGTACATGCCATTGTGAAGATGTGGTGACCTGTGAACTCCAGGCCCACAGGCACTTGTCAAAGCTCCCAGTAACGTAATTCTCCCTAGGTTAGCAACCACACTCACAGCTCCAGAGGAAAACCAGCGAGTAAACAAGGGAAAGCAATCATGAATCACAGCTTTCAGCAGACAATCTGAAAACACTCATTAAAAACGAGCTTACGCTAACACTATTACATATGCATTCATGCACATTCATGCAGAACAAAACAATTGCAGCAACATCTGCAGGGGTTTGAGAGGCAAGTTACAATTGAAGATGTTCTGCTTAAACCGTTCCTACCAGGCAAGTGTGCATGGAAAAATACATGTTTCATTCATCCTTCATTAAATGAGGCCTTATTTTTGCAAGAATCTCATTTTAGGAATGTTTTGAATGACAGTAAAAGCAGTAAAAGTAAAATAACAACCTATAATAAGGTCAGGTGGATCCCAGACACTGTATAGAAAAGCTTTACCAGTTAAGAATCTAAGAATCCAAAGCTGAAAAATGAACGTGTACCAAAATGTGCTCACAACATGGCGCCCAGCATACATATTTGTGTATACAATGGGATAAATTTGGATATTTTTTACAGGAAAAATAATAAACAAGGCTTGTGGAGATGCTTTCCAAACAAGCAAATGTCCAGAGGCTCATAATTATCCCATTTCTATGAGAAAACGGAAGAAATTCTGAAACAACACAAGCAACTGGTGTTCAAAGTTCTCCTGTCAGCCAAGTCCTCATTAGCAGCGAGAACTAGCTCATCCCTGTCACCATCACCAAGACCACAGGGAGCCTTGTTAAGTTAAGGGGGTTAGACACAACACGCCAGCTTCTTCCCATCAAGTCGTGGTGAGGTCCACCTTCTGAGACAAGTGCTGCGCAATGTTTTGAGTCACAACAGTCAACCTCTCACAATCGTGGGTGTTGGTCTCCAAAACAGCATGAGTAAGTACACGTGAACCCTGACCTGTGCGTATCTGACTCCAGCAGACGAGCCAGATGTCTGTCAGAGTGTTCCCCCGTGGGGTTGCTGTGCACACCAGTGATGGAATTAGACTGTGTTCTGCTGGTCTCTGAGCCCCTATCGTACCTCCCGCTCAACTGATAACGCACGGATGAAATGGTGAAATAATCCTCAAAGGACTCTGGTAACTCAATTTCTATCTAATTAGATTACTAAGGCTATTAACCCAACTGGTACAATTAGTGCAGATATTTGATGATCCTGGACTTATTTGATGGGATTTCATGTTGATGGGGATGATGCAGTTTAATACAGTTTCAGCACAGTGGAATGAAATTTACAGTCTGCACAGGGACTCAGTATATATACTGCTGATATTCAGCTCTATTATGCTGAGATAGACTTTAAATTAAACTGAAATAAGCAGCTTCCATTGTCGTGATATACCCCAATGCACTATAGAAATCTGACTTTGAAAAAAAACAATCAGAAAAAGATGACAGAGAAGGCCATCCCTTTATTTCCCATTGTTACTTTTTCAGGTAGAATCTACAGACCATGAAATGATGCATAGAAAAATAGCTAAGCAAGTAACAAGATACTACTCTGGGGATGCATAATTAACTGGAGGTTGAAGGGGGGGGAGCGGTCCTGACACTAGCATATGCTTTTAATGACCGTTCCTCAGATTACAGCAGATCATCCAATTACCACTGACAGGTTTATTATTCCGATTAAACTCTTATTTTAGGACATCTCCAGGTTGCTCTGAATGATGAAGTCCTAAAACACTGCAGCTGTAGGAGTTTTGCATTTTAAATATGGGCCATATTTTATTCTTGGACAAATTTGTGCTATACATACAAATGTGTCTGAGTGTACTTATTACAATAAAAAGGTCAGACAACGGAATAAAAGAGAACAAAGGAAAGTCATTAAAGAAGAGAAACATTTGTGCCTGTGTTAAAAGTGTATTTTTCTGTAGTCAATACGTTTTATAGCAAAATTGTTCAAGCAAATTGTACAAAAGGTGCAAAAGAAAATGGTATTGTTCAACTTTTAACTCCAGGTTACAGTATTAAAAAACAGGATCCTGAATCTTAAGACTCTTAATATCATCGAGAACCCATCTTAAAAACTCAACAGTATTCATCAGACCTCCATAAGTACTCCTTAACTCTCTGAAGAGGATACTGCAAGAATCAGTGAAGTTAAATGGTGCATTGTCTGTGTGGAAATGTGTCACATAAAATCAAGCTTTTCATAATAAGTTAGTTTGAAATGGTGCCACTTCCAGGTTTAGGATGTATTCTCACGAATGCAAACTGAGGCAGGTTTTTCTTCCAGCTGCTACAAGAGATACAAATTTCCCTCTCTGCTCTCAAGGAAAGAAAGACTGAATATAAAACCAGCATTCACTGTTGGAGTCCTACAAATCCCTTTTGACTGAATAAATTTGGACTTTCACATGTTCATTCAGAACTTTGGACACGCCTACACCTTTAATTACAATAAGCTGGCTGATTTTATGTCTTACAATGTTAGACAATCAAAAACCTTGTTAAATCTATGGTATGTGATACATTCTTTTTTTCTGCATCTGTATCAGATTCCTGCCTGAGAGAAGGATGTTAAATGATGGCTTCTTTCCCAACGTGTGGTAACTGCTAACCTAAAGCCATGAACTCTATCATCAAGCAATGAATCATGGAAAATCCATTTACTTATTTTGGTTTTGCACCAATAGTTGCTTTGTTTTTTCTTTCAATTTGGCTTCAGAAATAACTATTGTAAAAGTAATCAATAGATTTTTTTGCAACAGCTTGAGATTGATGGGAGCTGGATGGGTCACTTTCAGATACTTTGCAGAATGGGTCAAGGGTCACACACTGCAACATGCACACAATAAAAAAAAAAAAAAGTAACTCTAGTCATGTAGATAAATTCCATCATCCCGTTTAACTTCTTTCTTTGTTTTGCAGTTGTGCGTGCACAATGCTGGAAACTTCCAGTTACAGAAACCTGATTAAAATGAAAGAGGTTCATCAATATGCCACTCATACCTGAACAAATCCGCAGCAGAGCCAGCAGCAAGTAAATTCCCGTGAAACAGACAGGCATCTCTGAAAAGCAGCTGGAGACGGTGTTAATCCAGTCACTGTTTGGTAGTTTTCCCTATTTCATCTAAAAAAAATTAAAGTCTGCAACTTCTGCACCGGATTACCGCTTTAGCAGGACGGAGGAGAGTTTCTTGAACTGCGCAAATTACGCAGATAATACTCTCCAGAACTTCTACTCGAAGACTGAATATGTGTCCGCATCAAAGTTCAAATCAGTCAGCGACATCGTAGCTCCACATGGATTTTTCTCCGCTCCCACTGTCGAACACTCCAGATCCAAACGCAGAGAACTTCTCGTAATTCATCGGTGACGAGTTGTAATTCCACTTCAAGGGGGGGGGGGGG